ATTCTTCTAAATATGTATGGTTGATATCTCTTATAGTAGTCTTATACCTTGGATGAATGGCAGAATCTACCAGATAATGTTAGTAATGCTTAGATTTGTCAGAGTAACAAATCAACTGGGAAGTCATGATTAGAACTCTTACATTCTTATTTTGACTTTAGAATGGTTTCAGTTTAATCTAGCATTGAATATATAAAACCTAAATTCAAAGATCAATATAATTAAAGATGTTGCTCCGTGAACTAAAGTTTAGTATATGTGCCGCTAAAGTGAGCACCGTGAACTAGAGTTTATAGAAAGAGTTCATAATAGAATTTTTTGTCTTGTAAAATGTCTTGGAACAATTCAACTATTGTAAAATCAGTAAAGAATTGCATTATGTTTTCTAGGATGTTGCTGGTTTATGGAACAAGGTAATACACATCCTACATTATATTAATATTAATTCCAAAAGTAAATATTCTGTATGGTTACTCAGGTGTCTGCTATGGTAATGCACCTTATCAAATACACCAAAATCTCAATGTGTCACAACAACAAATATTTTATTTCACACTCAGATTCAGGTCTGCTCCCCATGCTTGCATCCCAGGACTCAAGTGGAAGGAACCTGGGGCTCAGAGTGAAGGGTAGAAGCTTCAAGAGGCCTCCCCAGCAACACAAGTACACTAAAAGCTTCAAGTGGCCAATGCACCTAGGCCAACCCTAATATCAATGCATAGTGGAGCGGGAAGACTGGGCTGACTATATTCCATATGGATTAATAACCACTGCTGCACAATAAACAATCCAAAACTTAGAATCTTAAAACAATAATTGATTATTTCTCCCAAGCTTATGAGTTGGTCAGGTGATTTTGCTAATCTGGGCTGGTTTCACTCATGCATCTGTGGTCAGGTAACACATGGGCTGGGGACTGTTTCATCCAGGATAATCTCACCTGAGGCAGTGCAGCTCTGTGCAGCTCTGTTCATTCTCCAGAAGGCTAGTGTGGGCTTCTTCTAATAATGGTGACAACATTCAAGCCAAAACAGGAGCTTGCAAGGCCCTTGAGCTGAGGCTGAGAACTTGCAGGATATCACTTTTGCTGAATCTTATGGTCTAAAGAAAATCACAAAACTGGGCCAGATGGGCCCATTGCACATTGCAGAGGCATATCGCAGAGGGTATAGATGGAGGGAAGAGTGGGGAGCTGTGCCTGCTTTTACAGCCTACCGTGCTGACCACTGATTAGCATTTGAGTAAGCAGACCTAGGAAAACCAAATTGCCCTTCCCAAGGGGAGTAGACACCCTTGAGGGCTTGGCTAGAAAAGAGAAGAAAGGAGAATTCATTGTCTCTCCCTAATTGCTTCAACTGTGGCACTGGTGTTCTGCCTTTCACTGGGACTTCCACTGCCAGTCCTCCAGTTCTCAGAGCAACACCACCAGTTTCCCTGGGACTCTAGGTTTTCAGGTGGCAGATCATGGAACTTCTCACCTTTCATAACTGCATGACTCAACTTCTTGTAATAAATTCTCTTATCTAGCTTTATCTATAGCTATGACTGTATTCTTAACCATATTCTATTGGTTCTGTATTTCTGGATGACCTTGAGTACTGCACCAAGTGACTTGTTTTGGCTGGTGATACATGAGTAGAAACAATGGCATGTCAATGCTGAGGCTGGGTCCTAGAGACACATTGTGTGTTTCTTGTCTCCTGGGACAGCTGCAGTTCTAAGGAGGATAAGGGATGAGCGACAAGTGAAACAGACCTAGGCCCAACCTGCATTCTGGGGCCAAGGTCAGCCTAGGTCCAGCCTTGATCAATCAACCCTCATCTGCTGAAATGATTGTTTCTAGCCACTAATTTTTAGGGTGTTTGTTACAAAGCATTATTCCAGAACTAGTTAATTTTCTAGGAAAATGAGAGCTGAATTATCTCTCCATGATTCAGTCTCACATCTTCTGAAATACAACTTGGATAAGCAAATTCTATATAAGACCTTATATTTGGGGGACCATGCATATCCCATCTGCACAAATTGCCACATCTACATAACCCTTCCAGAATTATTAACCTAATGTTTTTCCTTGACTTAATTTCAAATCTGTCATTTTGATCATTTCTACCTACTTACATCTAAGCAACATTCAAGTGTGATGTATTAGTTATATTTTTCATATCTATCTATCTATCTATCTATCTATCTATCTATCTACTCTATTCTGTAGCAGTATCATTCTATGTGTGTATTCACCAAACTCCATGTGTTATTTTCCTGAGAACACAGAAAGATTACATCTTCTAGCTAGGTGGGGCCCTGTAACAGTTCTGTAAAAGAAGTGGTACTGATTTACTCATTTCTAGACTTGTTCCTGAAATCCGAATACATTTTAAGAAGCCAGGGTCCTTGAAAATGGCAGTCTGAGTTAGTAGAGGGAAGGAACTTTGATTTTTGGATGACCTTGTAGATCAGAAGCTTTCCTCCTTCCCACTCCACCAACCTGCAATGGCCTGTTCATGAACAAGAACTCAACATCTTAAGAATTCAGGATATTTTTTTCAGCAGTTGGAGTTAGCTTGTCTAATCAAAATCCAGAACCCTTAAAATTAAAAAAGACCCATTGTTACCTAATCTTACATTCTGTACCACTCGTACTCTGTATACCACACCTTGGAAACAAATCCTTACTTGACAATCAAGGAAACTGAGCCTCAGAGAGATGCCACTCAAGTGGCATTTTGCTTGCAGGAGCTGAGACTCAGATCCAAGGTGCTGATCCAGTTCCAGACTGGTAGTATTTGCAGGAAAGCTGTCCATTGTTTAGTCTACCAGGAACTGCAGCGTCAACTCCCCTCAGGGTTATGAAGCAGCTCCTAATAGACCCTGCTGCTGTCTGTTTCACCTGGAAACACTGAGAGATGCTAAGGACTCCCCACTCTGATGGTTGGAGAATTTGCCAGAGGATATTTTCTGGTCATAGGGGTGTGTCTCATTTGCATGCTGTGATGGATGCCATGGGAGCATCTCTCAATTAGCAACAGACAGGAATATAGTCATTTCCTCCCTGGGAATTACTCAGGGGAATGTGGCCTTGGGCGGGTCCTCAGAAGGGATTAGTCCCAGTTATCCACAGTGCTAACTTGCTCATTAACACCTCCCTGGGTTCCTTCCCTCACTTCCCCTCCCTACCTGATGCTGTAGCAGAGAAGCAAGAAGATAGCCATCTGCAAACTAGGATGCCAGCCCTCACCTCCAACCGGCACCTTGTTCTTGAACTCCCTTTCATAACTGTGAGAAACAAACATCAGTAATTTAAGCCACCCAGATTATGGTGTTGTTATAGCAGCCTGCGTAGACTAGGATAGAACACGAGGGGAGGCAACCCTGAAAAAGTAATATTTGAACAAAGAGATGAATTTAAAGGGGACATAATAGAAGAAAGTTCCAGGCAGAAAGTTCACCACTTAGAACAGTCCTGGAGGTGGGGCAAGGCTTGACATGTCCCTTGTATAGCAATGAGGCTTCTATGGCTGCAAAGAGAGGGGAGTAAAGGAGGGAACGCTTGGAGGGGTGGACATGGAATAGATCCCTATGGAGAGGTTTGTATTTACTGGGAAAAATGTCTCAAGCAGAGGGATGATTTGACCTGGTTTGTGTTGCCAGAATTCGATAACAAACCTTTCCAGGAAATGTGGAAACCAAGGCCTCTTCTATTGCAAGAGGTAGCACAGATATGTGGCAAGGTCTGCCAGTGAGGCCTGGGTTGGTGGGTCCTGGGACCTCCGGCACTGTGGTAGCTCCTGCCCTCCACCTTCCATTGCACCACAAGTGGTCTGTCCCGTTTCTCCTTCCATTCAAAAAGGGTTTGTGGAGGTGACTCTGAGTGGCTGAAGGTGCCCTCACTGCTTTTCAAACAGTTATCTCGGGCCCCATTCTGTCTTAAAGCCCTTAAACTACCTGCTACGGCACACCAACTTCAAAGCAGACTTAATTCAACCAGGAAGAAACCATAAGCCCATGATTAAAAATGTTTTTTCCCATACTTTGATCACAAGAAATAAATATTTTCTTGCACAACACCCTGCAAAATTATTAAAGACGATTCTAGCAATATTTCTGTGCCCAGGGGAAGAATTCTATTACAAAAGTGGACAAAACAGGCCCTTTGAAAACTCCAAGGGATCCTTGTAATGGCAGAGGAAAATTGTGAGCTCTAGATTTAAAATAATAGAATAAAAGTAGCCTAGCTGGGCGGAACAACTTGGCCCTCAGAGGGGGCCCTGTCCCCAGCCTCCCCTCAAAGGTGGGAAAATGTTGTGAAAGAAATTAGGTTGTTTCAAACTTGGAACTAAAACTTCTCAAAATTAAAATAAGGAAACCCAAAACCAATCAGTACTCAAAAGACTGATTAAGTGTGTCTTTAAACATATAGATAATTGAATAATATTATTTGAGCTATTATATTCATGAAATTCTGAGAAGTCTTAAGGCATTTAGTTTTATACGAAATGATTTTACAAAACTGTTTTTGATGTGAGTCAGTGTGACTGAACATACGTTTTTCCCTCTAGAGACACACATTTATTGTAGTTTCCAAACAGATTGAAGGCGTTGGGTCAAAAACTGTATTAAAAGGTGAGTTTATTCTTACACTTTTTGTATTGCTTACTTTGAATTACCTAGCCCATATCCATCCTCTGAAGTTTAAAAAGATGGTTTGACAGAACAAATTACCTCCCTTGTTTTCCATTTAACCGAGCTTATGGTTTTTATAGGCATATCAACTATTTCTATATCTTTTTTTTTTTTTTTTGGTACCGGGGATCGAACTCAGGTCCTTGCACTTGCACAGCTGGTGGTGAAACCACTGAGCTAAATCCCTGGCCCTTATTTTTATATCTTAATTTTCTGCAAGTTCTGACATGGAGAGAAATAGGCAGTGGCTATAAAAATGTATGGTAAATCACTGGTAGTTTAAAATGGAGCTAATTTCCACGTTAAGTAAATCAAATAATTGCCTTTTCATATTGTAAGTTAATATTTTTTCTTATCAATAAAGGGATATTTTATTAAAATAGACTATAATTTCAAGTGCTCTGATGCAGTAGAAAATGTAAAACCTCCCAGTATTTGAGCAAGATCCTAAAGTTTGATCTGTGAACATTAAAATGAGTGTTTGAGTACACGAATATGCACATATATTTTTATGAAATTATGGAAGGTAGAGATTCTATTTTATATACTAATTTTAGAGTGAGGATTCAAACTGTGGCATTATCAACCTCTTAACTAACTCCATACTACAATTTGTCTCCTAAAATGGGGATGGTAGTAATAGTTACCGGTAGGGTTGTGGCATGCAATAATTCAGTGGATAGATGTTATAACTTGTGTTTAGATGTCCCCTCTAAAGCCTCATGTGGTTGTAGGTGGGGCTTTTTCGGAAGTGGCTGGATCTACAGTGTGTGACCTTGGAATTGATTTTGGTACAATGCTAGGATCAAGGGCACTAGGATTAAGGGTGTGAGTGTTACGTGTCCTAAGGGCAAGTAGCCTGGCTAAGATATAAGAGACAAAAAGAGCTGTGGCCCTCCCTTGTTGTTTTTGCTACTTTCTGCCCACCAAGAACTATCTCTTCTCTGTGATGCCTGTTTCCCATGTCAACTTGCCTGGAGGCTGATTATGGACTGAAACCTCTACAAACTGTGTGCTAAATAAACCTTTTCTCCTTTCACTTTGGGTGTCAGGTATTTTGTCCCAGCAATGAGAAAAGCAGCTAAGACAATAGAGGAACTGAAATAGTGCTGGAACCCAGTAACATTCGAAACAGGTAACTTACTGTCCCTGACGCTTAGCACCCCATTTTGTGCATATAGTTAATGCTTAGTAATTGCTTATTAATGAATATTCTAGTAAGACAGACCTTTTCTACAATTCAAATGATAAAACCCATATTAGCCCAGGGAGTCCTGAAGCTCATTCAGCACAGTCATTGGTACCTGACTACCCCGAGTCTGACATACTGACTCATGAGAACTGAATGTTAAATTTCTAGAAATTTTACAAGCTAATTTTAAAGACAATTACTCAAAATTAAATGACACAAGTATCCAATTAGATAATTTACACTAAGACTAAGTTAATACTCAAAACTTATCATTTCTTCATTACTTCTTAAATTACCTTTGAATGTATTTACCTTGTGTGTGACATAACGGTATGATTCTGCACATCTCTCCCCAACTTTGCTCAGTGATGTCATGTTGGTAGCTTAAAATCAGCCATGAAAAGAATACTTATGCCAGAAAAATCAGCAAACATTATAAGCCAGGGCTCCCCCAACCTGATCTCTTTTCCTTACTTCCCCCCGCCCAGAGCAAGTTGCTAAAAATTTATCAACACATTACTGGTTGTGTGAGGCCTGGAGGGGGAGGATGAGTATAAAGGAGCAAACATCTTCAGAAAATTTACCACCTAAGAACCCATGACTTCCTACACCTTTATCCTAAATTTCCTTCATTTGTAAGTTTTTACAGATCATTGCATCAGGGAAAATTAAAATATCACATTTGCAATAATCTGAAGGTATATCTTCTTCTTGTGGCTTTCTTTTGAACATGAATGTCTAAATATTTAACTGTCAGTGGCATTTTCTTTCTTTTAAAACTGATTAACATTATTTAAAGATTTGTGCTAACACAGGTGACTATGGCACATAAAATCCAAGATGGTACCATCCATTCAGGCCTCTGCCATCTCTTACCAGGACTCCTTCCTCTCTTACTCTTCTCCAATTCCTTTGTTCTCACAGTGGTGGGAATGATCTTGTTAAACATGCAAATCTTGTTGTCTCACTTCCAGCCTGAAACCATCCTTGGTGTGCATTGTACTTAGAATAAAATGCAGCATCCTCACAATGATCTTTAAGGCTCTACAACAATCTCTCTGGTTTCTGAGGGTTTCCATATCTCATCCGGGACCTTTCTCCTCTGGGCTTCCTGAACTCTAGGCTCACTGTTCTTCTCACAGTTTCTGAAACACATCCATACTTTTCTGTCTCAGGGCCTTTACACGAGCTGTTCTTTTGTCTACATCATCCCCATGCTTCTCATTTTCCCAAAGTCTCGCTGCTTTGTGTCCTTCAGACATTAGCTAAAATGTCACCTTGTCATGGGGTCTCAGTGATATTTGTCAGATGAAGGACAGCAGTGTGGCTATGCAAGAGGATTGTTATAAGTCATAAGTGACACTTTGCTATGACTACAGCTTCATATGAAAATGTCACTCACCTTCCTATTTTTCGGTGTCCTGACAATAACTACTCCTTTCCTACAATTTGAATACTTTTCTCCCCCTTTTTTGCCTTTCTTCATCTGTTTCCTTTGTTGGGCTACCTGCTGTCCCAGACCACCTGTTCTGGGCAAGGTCACATCTCAAAGACAGCCCTTGCCAGGAGCCTTCCCCTTGTGCGGCCTGATGACTGTGCCTTGCATGGAGCCTCCCTACTCCTCACTCAGGGCTCTTTGGAGGCTCCTAACTTATTGAATGTGATGATAAACTTGACCATAAACTTTTCCAGAGCCTACACAACTCTACATCCTTGAGCAACCTAGCAGCCTGGTTTATAAATAATAACCCTGCCATCAGTAAATGTCACTAAATTAATTTTCTTATGATGAAAAACTGGAAAAGTGGGCTAATTACCCAAATGCTTCCAAACGTCCAGATGTTTATCCTCATGTGCGCGTGTGTGTGTGTGGGGGGTATTAATGACTGATTAAATGCCTTCCTGATCATCTCTGTGGCTTGGAATTGCATAGAAACAATCCCATATTTGTGTCTTAACCATATTCTTTCTCTTACCCAAATAGTGCAAATTTATCTATTTCTAGTGTTTCCTCTTAATTTTTTAAAAACAAAATATTAGAGCTTCTACTTAAAAAATACTTATATTGAATAATAAGTATCATGAAGTGAATTGCCTTTGTGAATTTTGTAGGAAGGGCCAGGGCGGACCTGCTGCTTGGGCTGGTTGTCAGTCTCTCCATGCTAGCAACAAAGGACAGGTGAGCCAGGTTCCAAACTGATATTTGCAGCACAATATGCTCACAACTCTGCCTCCAAATTCCAAATAAGGTCAAACTCATAGAACACAGCCTTTAAGACCCACGTGCTTCTTCCTATAAATTTAATCTATCAACTTAAAAAAGAGGGGACAATGAAAAGATAACACATGAGTACTGAAGAAAGTCAAACAGAAGAGGGTTGGATAAAGGAAAAATAAATAAATGAGACAGGCAATTGTCACCAGCAGCATCAGCATCAGGGAGAGCTTACTTAGCTGTGAAGACCTGGCCTCAACACACCCCTGCTGATTCGAGATCTGTGATGGATCAAGATTCTCTCAAGGTTGAGAAATCCTGCTTTAAAAAAAATTGGGATGATAAAGGTATTTATTTGTGTAAACTGGGGTTGGTCTTATCTGCTGTGTTTTCCTATTATTTTGGCAGAAGTGTAGCCATCTCCTTACTTTGCCCCACTTTGCAGATTCTCTCCTCCCTCCACCTCTGGCAGCCCCCTGTGCCTGTGACTGGGTCTGCATCCTCACAAAGCAGAAAGTCTGATCAGTTGACAAAGGTGCTGCTGAATGGCTGCATGAGCCCTGCGAAGCCACTTAAATTCGAGCACTTCTATTTACTCTATTTTACAAAGGCATAATGGTGCTGGGCTACCCAGATATTAAATTAATTAATGTTTATAGGGCACTTCAAGCCTAGGGGATAAAAGCCTCTTTGAAAATGCTTGTAATTATCATTATGGCTAATGAAGCTTGCTCCTAACTCCTCCTCCTCCCGGCGGGGCGCGTGGGGGGGGGGGCAGGGAGCTGTCCTGGGTAACATAATCCAGAGTAGGAGGAAATCGACCTCAAATGTCAGTTTCTCTTTTTGGTCACTCTATTGGTGTTTCTCAGTTTTATTTTATTTTTTAAGCTACAAACTGGATTTGGATGAATTGAGTTTATGATACAAATATGCCAAAAGGGTTATGAAAAAAGTGCTTTTTCTCCAGCTTCCTATGTAGTTCCTTCTTTTCTTTTCTTTCTTTTTTTTTTTTTTTGCCTCTCAGGGAAGTGGGATCCAAATAGCCTCAGAGAAGAGCTTTCCCTAGAAGGTGGCCTAAAAGTTTCAAGTGATGCTTATCATGATATTAAGGTTCATTATTTACTCTTGACCAAGTTCCAGGATGTCCTTAGACCTAATTATAATAGAGAAGATACTATCTCTAGGTTTCTGCTCTTGATTGTAACTTCAAGTGATAGATGGTTCTTGAAATGCCAGTCAACAACTGGTGGTGTTCAAAGGGACACCTATTTACCTAACACAGGTTATGGTATAAATGGCATCGTCAACAATTTTAAATTACTCTTTGTTCATTTCTACAGGTTCTGTCTCTCTTTATTACCGTTAACATGGATTCAGGGAGGATTAAGGAATCTGATGCAGAAAATCAGCAAAACAATCACAGTGTCTTTTGGGAATTCATTTTAAAATGATCTCCTTTTTTGGGATTAGGGAAATCATTTCACACTTAAGTGTACTAGGAGAACCTTGTTGCCTTATTTACTTTGAATCATTTTGAAGAGAGAAACTTGAGTTCAAAATGCCCTTCTAAGGAGAGGTTCACGTGTTTACTAACTGAATTTCAGTACTGCTAGGTAAAGATGGGAAGTGGGAGGGTTATTGAAACAGGCCTGGAGACAGCAGCAGAAGTATGTAGTCGAGACAGTGGTGATGTACAGTCAAGGGCACCCTTGGGAGAGACAGAATTACTGAAATGAAAGCACCAGCAATGATTGGGCTTATAAATGACTGTCTAGATGTGGGTACCATTCTGCCAGCTGCTTGAGCTCAGACTCGGCCCACTTCATTTCCTTTGTGTCTGCAGAAAAATGGTTTAGAGTTCAATCTTTCACTGGAAATCGTAGAGTCCTTAAGACAAATACACATAGTTTTGAACATAGATATAAAATTCATTTGTGGGCATTGGCCATTTTAAGAGACAGTTCAGATAATCTTCATACTGCTGGATGGAAAGTGGCCCTTGCCTTCAAGGGGCTTGCGAGTTAAGTGCAGAGACAAGAGAAGCAGGTTTCTGTTCCTTTCTTCCTCTAGAGGAGCTCTGTGAGGGCAGGAGTCAGCTCACTCTTCCTCACTGTTGTGTCTTAATGCTACCTTCAGGGTCATTAGATCTGAGAGTGGAGCCCTCAGGGAGATTAGTGCTCTTAGAAAAGGGACACACAGAGAACACCCTGGTAGAGGGTCCTCACTAGAACTGGGCCTTGCTGGCATCCTGGTCTCAGACTTACTGCCTCCAGGCCAATGAGAACTACATTCCTGTTGGTTATAAGCTACCTGGTCTAAGGTGCTTGGTTACAGTAGCCCGGACTAAGATGGTGTTCTTCTCATACACAAAAAACCCTAGATATTTTCAAATAGTTGAATGTTTCTTGTCTATGGAAAGTAATATCAAAGTGTTAGACTAAATATTCCTAGCTTTTGGTAAAGACTGGTAGAAAACCCCAGAGAGGTTTTGCTATTTATAATATGATAAATTTATTCTTTTGAAATAATTTGTCTTAGGAAAGGCATAATAGTGTGAACATAAAAACAAAACTTCTTTTTTCTTCATTGTAACCAAAGTATTTTGTATTGAGAATAGCCAGAATCAAGAATCAGGAATAGAAAGAAGTTAAAAAAATGATTTTAAGCCTTTCTATAAATCATTGGCCAGGACAGAATTTGAACCGAGACAATCTGGACATGAGTTCAA